TTCCACGATTATTTTGTTTGTTTTAGTGATTTTATACTATCTTTTGTTAATGTGGTCATTGTTTATGACGTGTGAAATTGTTAGTGCAAATCCGCCCCCCGTGACAAAAAATTCTGGATATGCCACTGTACAAGAAGTTTTTATCAAAAAAAGGATAGTTACAACTTTAACTAATACTTTCTACCCAATTAAGAGTATAAATCCACTGTGAAATTGTTAGTGCAAATCCGCCCCCCGCACTTACCACAGTAGTGCCTGTCGAAGTGGTTAGCCATAAAGGTACCGACACCGCACTCGTTGTTAGGGCATTCCTTACGAAGCCTTTGGACCTTTCCAGAATCGTTGACCTTGTAGAACTGCAGGACGGCGAGCTTGATCTTCTTGTGCTTGTGCTTCAGCTTCTTTGGCTTAGTGTAGGTCTTCTTCTTACGCTTATTCGCACAACCGCGTAACTACCAACAACAACCACAATCACAATCAACGTCACTGCTACAACCACTATCCTCTCAAAGCAAAAGGTTGAATGTTAGGAAACCAAATGTTAGGATTGCGGTTAATTTGGAGAAGGTGAATTGGGATCCAATTACAACCGAGGAATCTATTTGGGTAACTGTTGGAGACCTAGAAGCAAGAAATAGGCCTGGTACACATTTTAATAAAACAGGTTGGGATAATGTAGGCAAAAAGTGTTTGGTACCCAAAAAGGTTGAAATATCTACAAAAGAAACCTTGTTATGATAGGGTTTATGGTGAGGGGACTTTTTTGATTTTGATACTAATTTGGCACCCAAAACAGTCACATAACCATTTTCGAATGCATAAAGAGGTGCTCTTTGAATTGTGTGCACTATTGATCAATAATTATGGATTAAAGGGCATAAAAGATGTCCCTGTTGAGGAACAAGTAGCCACTTTTATGGTTGTGGTTGGAGTTGGTGAAGGAAACCGAGAACTTCAAGTAGAGGTGGACTCGAGCCGAGTGGCCCGACCCGGAACTGGCCCGGGACCGGTACTGTTCTGGCCCGGCCCGGCCCGGTGGCCCGGCCAAGGACCGGTCCGGGTAGGCCTGGTCTGGTGGTTTTACGGTGCGGGCTCAGATCCGCCAAATAATGAACCGGCCCGGCCCGGCCCGACCCGGTTCCGGGCCTTTTATTTTGTTTTTTTTGTTTTTTTCATTTTTTTATTTTTCAGGGTTGGGCTGGGTGTTTTGGGCCATTTGGGGTTGTGAGGGGGGGTGGGGGTCGGGGGGTATTAGGGGATTAATTAGAAAAAAAAATAGGAAGTGGCCCGAGGCCCGGGCCGGGCCGGTCTCGGGCCCAATTATTCTGAACCGGCGGCCCGCCCGGGCCTAGGCCCGACCTGAACCTGGCCCGGCCCGAGTCCACCCATAACTTCAAGAGATGTTCTAACGATCTGGTTTTACCATTAGCCGATCATCTCACAATATTCTAACGAGATGGATGATGATTTCCTTGAAGCGGTAACAATTCAGAAACAGACGATTACGATGATGTGCAAACACATCACGGTGATGATGCAATGAACAAATTGAGGAATGACATTTGTGCATGAATAACATTTGATAGGATTGGTATTCCAATGTATTAGTATGTATTTGTATTCATATGTATTTCTCTCTTTTGTGCATCAGTAACATCTTGTTTCTTGTACTCCAACAATATGTTATTAAGAATTTGTATAGCATTCATACGTATTTCTCCAAATTGATATCCATATAGACATATTTCTCTAATTAGTGTACAGTATTCAAATATGAATTCTTTTTGGAGTGGATTCACTCAGAATTTTCCCAACTCAAATGACCACCACCTGTTGTCCCGTGAAGAACTTCACCCAGACTCCCATTCCTCATAAACCAAAAGGTTCTATTCATAGTTTGAGAAAAAACCCAATAATCATACAATATGCGTATGCCTGATCCTACCAAGAGTCGGTACTTCTCCATTGAAACCGTATAGACTCCATCCAAACTAGCTAACACTAAAGGTACACTGTGCATCATACGTTAAAAGTACAATACAGAGAGTACATAACCAGTCAATCGGAGAGTTTAATTAGTGTACAATACAAAACAGTACACTAAAAGTACAAAGACATCATGTTAAAACCTTTTCGAGAAACATCAAAATGTGAAAAAGGTGGTTACTAATGTTCTTACGTTGTCTAAAAGTAGTTACATATAAAATAATAATCAGTTCGATACATATACTAAACGAATGAAATTTCACTCGGAAAATCATCGTCAATTCGTGGCAAAAAAAACTTTTTATTAGGAACATTTGATTGTTGATCCTTGACCCCAGTGTCCTCTTCCGCTTCTGTATCATCAATAATTATTACTTGAGATAGCGATTTAGGTCTCTGGTACCTAGCATGAAGAGCTTAAATCTTGGCGCTTCTTCTCTTTGACGCAACTTGTCAAAAATTTTAAAAAGTTCAAGCCACAGTTTTTCATATCCATTCTTATACTTTCTGGCAATAGGGTGTTTCCGCAATTTCAAAACTCTAAGATATTTTGCCACCATGTATTTCTTGACACTTTTGTTTATTATAACAATAACATGACAATTTTACTCCAATCCTTTTCAAATAAAAAGAATAAAGAAGTTAAAGGCATAGACCTTTATGACGGCTTCCTGTGTGTGCTTATCCGCTTCCAATTGATTAGTGGGCACGTCAAGTTTCACATCAGGCCAACACATCAAATTATGCACCTAGTTGAACCTACTCTTCATTGAAATGCTTTTTTTCACTTTCTCCAAAGTAAATGGTTTCCTAAATACTTTGATAAGCATTGAAACAATCTTTGTCAAAGCATCCGTCCTAAAAGTGCTACATATTGAAGGAAATAAATAATTGACATTTAAGACATAATATTGCATTTAGCCGTTACATATCTCTATCATTATTATTGTATTATTACCTACCTTATAGACTTGATTAGTGATTGTATAAATAGCACCTATTGTAAACCCTTTTGATCATCATTGAATATACGAAAATCATTTGCTCCTCTCTTCTCTATTATGGTATCAGAGCATCTGAGCTCTAACCAGCCCCTTTCCTCTTCCCTATGACAACAAACAACAGCCAGCCTAGGGTTCTCCTCCAGCAAGGAAACCTAGACAACATCCCTACCAGTACACCTATCCCTTCAAATACCTCTTCAACCTCAGTTACAACACCTCTCACCCCAGATGGATTAATCCTGTTAAATCCCAGTCACTTCCCAGAAAAACTTGATGGTTCAAATTACCTGGTATGGCGGGATCAGATTCTGGATCTTCTTTTTGGGTCGCATCTTGATCAGTTTATATCTGATGATGCTACCCCACCACCGACGAGCGATGTTGATGGCCATCTGCGGTGGACAAGGCAAGACCGGCTTATCCGACATGCCCTCGTAGCCTCCCTGAATTCAACCTGTACATCTGAATCCCAAATCCGCAACATGAAGGACACCTTCCGCCACTACCGACAAGACTCTCAACCAGTGGGAGCGTATCTCCATCACCTGCGCACGCTCGCCAATGAGTTGGCTCAGTCCGGTCGCCCTGTTGACGAAGAAGACTTCGTCGTTCAAGCACTGGAGGGACTCTGACCTGAGTTCGCATCATTTGCTAACTCCATTCGTACCTGCAATGACCACAGCTTTAAGACGATCCATACACTGCTCACTGGCTTCGAAGACTCCTTGAAGCGGAAAGAAGAAGAAGTTAATTCCTCCGTCGTTGTGGTGACGGCTAATAATGTGAGTACAGGGGAGTCGGCAGCACTTGTGGCTCGCAGAGACTCAGTCCCGTCCATTTTGGGCCCTGGACCACCGGCCCAATTTCAACAGCAACCCAATCTGGTTAATTATTCAGCCCGTAATACTAATCAGAATCAACCCATAAACCAGCGACCCAATACTAATTACAATCCCAACCGACGTGGCAATAACAATTCTGGGGGTCCTACACGCAATCAGGCAGCCCGCAACAGTTCGGGGATTGGTAATTTTGGGCCCAATGTTACATGTCAAATTTGTGGGAAACCGAACCATTCTGCTATCAACTGTTGGTATCGTTTTGAACAACAAGCTTATCCTCCCCAAGTTAATACAGTGGTCACTCATCACAATGGCTGGCTACTTGATTCTGGAGCGACCAATCACGTCACCAATAACCTGAATAATCTTACCTTGGCATCCGATTATACTAGCACTGATTCTCATGTTATTGGTAACGGTAAAGGTCTTGCGATAGCACACGTCGGGCATATGACCCTTCACTCTCTTTCCCTACCTAATACTCTTTTTGTTCCTTCTATTCATACCAATTTAATTTCTGTCGCCAAATTATGTCGTGATAATGACGTACTAATTGAATTTCATTCTTCTTTTTGTCTTATTAAGGATCGGAGAACGGGAGCAATTTTGTTACGGGGTATGAATAAAGGAGATGTCTACAGCTTGCCAGATGTACCCACTAGTAGAAAAATGGTCTATAGTGATACTAAATTAGTGTCACTAAAAGTTTTAATGACACTATAAAAGTGTCAACGAATGGTTGGAACTCTGACACTAAAAAATGTGTCACTAAAAAGTGTCAGTAAATTGTGACACGTTAGTATCATAAAATATAATGATACATTTGCATCGGTATACTTAACGACACTTTGATATCATATAAATTAGTGATATCACTAATGTTACAAAAACCTATGATACTCTTGCACCATCCAGATTTATGATACTATAGTATCAACTATTGAACAATTTTAATACTTTTTTTGCACCACCATATCCACCTAAAAGGCTAAAAGTTAAATTTTCAAGCTCACAGACAAATATAAAACAAATTCATAATCAAAGTATCACATTACTTACTAATTGTCATTTAGATTCAAATCAAAGTCAACATGAAAATTCAAAGACAAGTTAACTTGTTCTTGGAAACAAAGCAAAATCCAAACTACCAATATTCTTGAATTCTAGTCTAGCTACATAGGGCTGCAAACATAAAGTAGTCATTACATATGTTCTGAAAAAATATAAAGTACTTAAGTACATCACAAACATCAAAATGTTATGTCCTTCCAGCCATTTGTTTAACCTTCCGCCAAGGTCCTACTCTTGGAGTAGTTGATGGTGCATCTTCTACCTATAAAAGAGAAAAAATATAAGTGTTGAAGAATGTTTCACTTTTTAACTTGCAATAGAAAATGAAATGGAATCGCTTATTACGATATGAACAAAGCTCTGCAATAGAAATACAACCGTTGGAATTTATAAAGATGCACATTTATGATAATTTAAATTCGAAAAAACACAGAGGTGAAAACAATTAAAAAACGCAACCGCAAGGAGAACAGGAAATAAACAGCTATTTACCTTTATATCTTCTACTCCTTTAGTCCCTAACCTTGATTCAACATTGCATAACAAATGACATATCAGGTCCTTGGCATCTTCTGGTACCTTTGGTTCTTCAGGGAATTTCAAGCAAGTTTTCCAATTGACAATCTGATGCATTAAATGTAAAAATAGAACAACAGAAGGACTTCAAACAATATTGATGAATATTTACTTTCCGGGGGCTTGCATAAGCCAAAATCAGAAAGTTTTAAGTGACCATTCTTGTCAAGTATAAGGCTATCTGGTTTTATATCCCTAAAAGTAGAACAAGAAGAATAGTCAAATTCAAATTACAAAAAGAGATTGAAAAGGCTTAATCATCTGACAGACTGTTCATACCTATGTACATAGTTATGCCGGTGAATAGAATGAATAGCTAGAATGCTTTTTGCAATATAGAAGTGTGCAACATCTTCAGAGAGGACATCTTCTCTCATTAGCAGTGTCATAAAAGAGTTTCACTATGCAACGACTATCAACCTCTACTAGTAAATTTCTTAGCCTTTGTATAACAGAAATAAATGATTAAAAAATTGTTCGAATGAGTATCTAAAATAACATAGGAGATTATTCATTTTGTGTGTGAACCTGTCCACAGCTAAGCATCTATGTCTTCTTCAACTTCTTCATGGCAAATATTTCCCCAGTACTCTTAAAGTGACACAGCCTCACCTGCATCAATGAATTAACAAAGATGAAAAGGAATTATAACTTGTTAGCACTACACTATAAATGTCTTTCCCAATTTTTAAAGTGTTGAAATTTTGGCCGTTGCCATAGATGTCTATAGCAACAAATTAAAATGTGTTGCAACTATTTTGGCTAAGGCAACAACATTCTCTAGAGAAACAAAAGCAACACATTAAAATGCAAATGCGATACTTAGATATTGCAACACATTGGCCAAAGTTTGGAGCAACATTTTGCACTAAATTGCAATCTTTTATTAATATTATTATTTAAAAACCATGATTTTATTAATTGTAACATTTATTTACAACTATTGCGCCTGCTATTATTGATCGACTACAGACATTGATCACATGTACACTAGAGTATTTTAATTGATCTGATAACTAGGTCTACAAACAAAATTAAATCCATAAAAATTGATCATCCATTCATACATATGTATCATAACAACTACAATCCAAACAAAGGTTCAAAAGGCTCATGATTTTAAAAACCAAAAAGTACTACAATGTTCTTGCAGCCAAAATCATAGTCAGCCTCCATAAATCTGAACAAAGTGCACACACCATCAACACCTGAAATAAAAGAGAGCACACATCATCAACACTATTTGAGAGCACCTTTTCACTAGTTCATCAACGGTCTTTAGCAAAATAAAGCAACAAAATTAAACACTGTAACCAATGATGCAGCACATAGCACTGATACATATTTCAAACATTGGATAAAATAATAAATATCACCATATAATTGAAAATCCATGTTGTAAACAAATAGCACTTTTATGCCAACAAATAAAATATACAATTCAGTTTTATCCCACTCGCCATTAACCAATGAATTTTTGGGTCATTCAAATTCAAGAAAATAATACGGAGTACCAAAGTAGAAAGAATAAAGGGAAAACAAAAACAATATAAACTAAATTATACACACTACAATGTTAGTTGACGTAAACAAATTGACTCATACAAATATTAATAAAGAAATTTAATCGAGTGTCGGTAGCAAACTGTAACTATATAGACCATAGAAGTTGGTACTACACACACTTTTAACAACCCGTTGATGGAGATTGCATAGAGACCGTGTTTTCGGGTCACTTACTTCCTTTTGATTTCCACCATATTCTACTTCCTGCATTAAAGATTCAAAAAAGTAACACAAACTTATTGCAAATAAAACATTAAAGCATGTTGCTGGCATATGAATACCAGCAAAATCAAAAAATTTGATAGAGGTACCTGTTAAAATATACTTTCTTGGTATTACAATCAGATGCGGCTGGTTCTGATCGCATTAGAGGGATTGTTTCATCAACAACATTATAGATACAAAACCATTAACATCATAATTTTGATGCACAAGAACATAATCTACAATATCATTGTCATTCGTGAGCAGCTTTCATCCTACTGTATTGGAATTGAGAACCTATACACCCCCAATTTCTTTGGAAAAGCAACCTTCCTTCAAAGAAAACACTTCGTTTGCCACTCTGAGCAAATTTTTGAAAATAAAAGTACATGTTGTACCCATTCCAAGTCTAACTTATGTAGTCAATCTGAGTATTGATAATAAATAATTAAACCCTAATTAAAGCAATTAGTCCAAGTTAAAGCACACTCGAACAAGTTATAAAGGAAAGACTAACTTGGCAACTTACTCTGAGGCTTTTGAAGTCTGTCTTTGCAAAATGGACACTCAAATCCACCTTTGACTCTTAGAAAATCAAAATACAATATTTGTATGCCTCTAAAGGAGGGCACACCAATTGAAATCTGAAATAACTTTTTTCAACTGAAATATACGATGTAAGAAACAACATCAAACCAAATTTGAAAAAGTTTACATAACCCTAACCTTGCCGTGTGCTTCGAAGTAGTCATGTGAAAAAGAACTGTGTTCTTTTTGGGCTGGAGAATGAATACGATGTTGCAAACTTTATCCCTGTTAAGAATGAAATACTCGCAGATAGCAGCAGTAAAATGGGAGAGAAGTCCCGTTTCTTGAAGCGGAGTTGCGGCGATAAACAGAGATGAAGGATGCGAAGGGTTGGCCGTATCGTAGTATATACCAACTCCTAAATTTCTCAAAACGTATAGAGAAAAAGGTATAAAACTTTTCTCAAAACGTATAGAGGGAAAAAGGTTGAGTGGGGAATTAATCATTAAAACTTTTATTACTTTTCCTTCAATATTTTTATCAATCCAAATGCTAATAAAATGAAATAGATAAATTAAGTGAATTAGTTAAAGTAAAGTGACAATTACTGTGATTTTTGGCTAATAAGGGCTGGGTCACTGGTTTGAGATTTACAAAATATGGGCTTATCATATTTACAAATATAAACTTTAAAAATTTAGAAAATAGACCCCATTTCAAAAAAACATTTTAATAAATTATGAATATAACCCCGTTTTTTCCAGCTTGAGCGTCACTATGAATTGTGATATTATTGTATGAGAAATCAGTGATACTTATGTGTAAACTTTCGGTTATATCGTCAGTTTTTGACACTAAATCGAATAGTGTCATTAAAAAAGTGTCACTGTAAGGCAGTTTTCTAGTAGTGACCCCCTCCATCATCTCCATCCGTTCAAATCACACAAAATTTTTCCCTTAATAATTGGCATTGTCGTTTAGGACATCCTGCCCTCCCTATCACAAAAAAAAAATCTCTCTTCCTTAGGTATTTCTTTTTCTAATGTTACTACAAATAATTCCTTATGTGTCTCGTGTGCTAGTAATAAAAGCCATAAGCTACCATTTCCAAAATCATCTCTTGCGAGCTCTGGACCTTTAGATTTAATATATACAGATGTTTGGGGTCCCGCTCATGTTAATTCTGTTGATGGCTTTCGTTACTATGTTACTTTCGTCGATCATTATACCAAATATATTTGGTTTTATCCTATGACTCATAAATGCGAGGTCACTCCACTCTTTCAGCAGTTTAAAAAGATTGTTGAGAACTTTTTTCAACGCTCAATTAAAATAGTTTATTCTGATGGGGGAGGCGAATACATAACTTTAGGGAAATTCCTAAGCACATGTGGTATTTCTCATTTATTTACTCCCCCCTACACTCCAGAACACAATGGCTTTGCTGAACGTCGGCATCGTCACATTGTGGAAACTGATATCACTCTACTTCATCATGCGTCCATACCTCTTAAATATTGGGGAAATTTCCTAGGATATTACTAAAACTCAATGAGTTTCCCAATCTATGACCTACCTAGTTTTTAGACTTTTGTATGATCGAAAAACTAAATAAATAAATAAATTTCGTTTATATTTAAAGGTTGAATGATTGAAAATACCCTTATTTAAAATATGTGCATTTTGCACTAATTTCTTCCAATTAAAATTACTGCGCTTTATATTGCTGTTAATGCACGATTTTACTGCACATCCGATTATTATCACTGCACTTCCGCCAAAATTAATTCTTTTCTCATTCCTTTGAGGAATTTATTTATAGTTTTTGTTTTTTGTTTTTTAGATTAAATAATTTTATTAGTTTACGTCTAATTAAGTATATTGCATTTCATGATGATGTTACTGCTTTCTGTCACTGCAATACCGGTCAATCACTACATAACAAAATTTATTAATGCATTCATTCACTGCCTTGTACAATATGTCAATTACCATGTATATTCACTCCACATACTCAACACTTATTGCACTGTTCACTATCATTGATCAATGCTCATATTTAATGCCCTCAAATCCTAAATTGAACAATCCCTAATTTTAAAAAATAGAATTATGATGTGAACCAGAAAAAGAAGCTATCCAAGAAGCCCACAACACATTGAGAATGAGATCTAATAGAGAGAAATTGAGGACACCATCATTCTCTCATCAAATTGAGAGATACAATACGTCTTTGGAAATCTGCAGAGGAGGCCAGCCGCCATATTCCGTCGTCTCTATGCTCTTCTTGGCATAGAAGCACCGTACAAGAGAATTTTCGGGGACGGGCCAGATGAGTAGTTTGGACGGCCTCCATCTTCCATTGTCTCTCTGCTCTTCTTTTTAAATCGACGAGCAAACTTGATGTGCTCTGTGCTCTTCTAGGCTCTAGCCCAATCAATGTGTGCTACTGTACGACGGGGGACGGCGGTAGTAGGCGGTTGTGCGCCGGGCTGCAAGAGGTGGCGGGCTGCAGGAGGCGGCCTTGCGGCGTATGCATCTTGAGGGGCGGTAGGCAAGGCCAGGGTTTGTAGAAAAGGGATAGGAGATTAGAGTTTTATACGTATAAGCTAAAGGGTATATTTGTCCACCTAAATTAATTATTAATGACGAATTTTAATTAAATATTATGTGTTTTAGTATTATTTTGGGGAAAAGACTAGTTAGGTCATAGATTGGAAACTCATTGAGTTTTAATCATACATAGGGTAATTATCTCTAAATATTGGTCCTATGCCTTTCTTACAGCTGTGTACCTTATTAATAGACAACCTGCTCTCTCTCTCTCTTAATTTTTTCACTCCGTATAAAAAACTCTTCCAACAACCTCCTAATTATAATAAACTTGTTGTTTTTGGGTGTTAGTGTTTTCCTTGGTTACGTCCTTATACCACTCATAAATTGGAACCACGCTCTAAATCATGCGTTTTCTTGGGGTATTGTGACCAACAAAGTGCATATCGTTGTCTTGATCTTACCACTAGCCGGATCTTCATCAGTAGACATGTTGTGTTTGACGAGACAGTCTTCCCCTTTTCTACATCCCCACCACCAGTCTCAAATATCACTTCTGAAGTTGATCATTGGCTTCAACCTTCCATGTCTTATCTTCCTATTTCAGGTACTCTGGTCACGGGGGCGTCTTCTCCTACTCATACCTCGACTCAACAACTGACTCCAGGTAAGTCACCTAATACCTCCACCCAAAGTGGTATCCCAACTTCTCCCCGTTCTCAACCCACACCGCCACAAATCATTACTTACCACCGCCGACCCAAACCCCTTCATCCACCCAACACCACTGAACTCACTACCTCCACCCCACACCTCGATAATTCCCCACCCGAACGTACTCATCCAATGACCCTTCGACCCCGTAAATAAGCCAATATTGCTACTAATATTCCCCTACCTCACCGTGTTATTCCCACGTGTGCTTCTCAAGCTATGCAGGGTACCAGAATGGCGGAGTGCTATGTCAGTAGAATTTGATGCCTTGGTTCAACACGGTACTTGGGATCTTGTTCCACCTCAACCTGGTGAGAATATTGTAGGTTGTAAATGGGTATATACAGTGAAGTATAAGCCGGATGGTTCATTGGATCGTTACAATGCTCGGCTCGTCGTTAAGGGCTTTCATCAGCGTCCCGGGATTGATTATTCTGATACTTTTAGTCCGGTCATAAAACCGGTCACTATTCGCGTTGTCTTGACTATTTCTCTCTCTCATGATTGTTCAGTACATCAGTTAGATGTAAACAACGCCTTCCTACATGGGACTCTTCAGGAGGAAGTCTGCATGAAGCAACCACCTGGTTTTAATGATGGATCTGGGTTTGTGTGTCGTCTTCATAAATCCATTTATGGCCTTAAGCAAGCGCCTCGGGTATGGTATCAGGCTCTTAGTGGATTCCTTCTCTCACTTGGATTTCATCAATCTGTTGCTGATGCTAGTCTGTTCATATTTTCCTGCCATCCATCTTATATATATATGTGTTGGTCTATGTGGATGACATCATTGTTACTGGTTCTACACCGTACTTGATACGCCAGACTATTGACTCATTGGCCCGCAAGTTCTCTATCAAAGATTTAGGAGCCTTACACTATTTCCTGGGCATGCAGATTACTCCTACACAAGGTGGACTCTTTTTTTTATCAACATAAATACATTCTGGACTTATTAAAGATTTTAAAAATGGATGAGGCTAATCCTGTGGCTACACCGTTATCATCCTCTGCCTCCTTAACTCTGTTTGACAGTTCGGGCTCGTGTGATGCCACTCTCTATCTACAGGTCCTCGGGTCTCTTCAATATTTGAATCTTACGCCCAGATGTTGCCTTTGCTATTAACAAATTGGCCCAATTTATGCATAAACCTACAGTTAATCACTAGCAACTTATCAAACGTCTCTTGCGCTATCTGCACGGCACTGCCTCTCATGGCCTCTATCTTTGTCGCAGCACCTCCCCCTCTCTCCGTGCCTTTGCTGATGCTGATTGGGCAGGGAATCCTGATGACCGTTCCTCTACCAGCGCATATACCATCTTTCTCGGGGAATCTCTTATATCTTGGAGATCAGTTAAGCAACGCACTATTGCTAAGTCTTCCACAGAAGCCGAATATCGAGCCCTTTCCACCGTTGCCTCTGAAATTATTTGGATCGAATCTCTCTTGCGCGAGTTGCGGCACCCGCTCCTTTCTCCTCCACTCCTCCTTTGTGATAACAAAGGTGTTACTACATCTTCTGTCCATCCTGTCTTCCACTCCCGCATGAAACATGTAGCTATTGATTTTCATTTTGTTCGGCAGCGGGTTCAACGTGGTCTTCTTCAAGTGCATCATATTCAATCTTCTGCTCAGATAGCTGACGCCCTCACCAAATCACTTCCTCGCCAACGCTTTATCCTTCTTAGAGACAAGCTCGGGATTTTTGGAAGTGACAGAATACCTGGCTTGCAGGGGCGTATTGAAGGAAATAAATAATTGACATTTAAGACATAATATTGCATTTAGCCGTTACATATCTCTATCATTATTATTGTATTATTACCTACCTTATAGACTAGATTAGTGATTGTATAAATAGCACCTATTGTAAACCCTTTTGATCATCATTGAATATACGAAAATCATTTGCTCCTCTCTTCTCTATTACTACAATCAAACAGCTTTTGGTTATCTTCAAAACCAATCATTTGATCAAGTAGAAACTTCTCCTTGCTTGTGGTCCATGAGTACATATCATACATTTCATCGACTTTGAGAACACCAATCTTTTCCTTTTTGATACCTAATGAACAAGCATAATTTTCTTATAACATACAAGTTTTCTTTCCCCATAAGTGAAGGTAATCTTCCTAACATTTTAGAAATGTTGATTTACAACAAAAAAAACACTAGTGTTAAATCAACCATAAGCCCATTAAAATTGATATTAAGATTGTTGTTATTACATAAAAATGAATAATCTGGTTATCATGTGATATTCTTCTCTTTGTGTTTCACCCAGGTACAAGTTAAGGAATCATAGGAGAAGGGCAATCCAAACTTTCATTTCACAACTCATTGGCATGAAGACATTGATTAAGAGAGAAAAAAAATTATATACATATATGTCTAGCATACCCCATGGATCATCTTAGCAGCATCAAAACATTCTCAAAATAGGAGTAGACAACTTTTTCACAAAAGCACAAAATAGGTGAAATGTGAATAACTTCATAAAGTCAAATAAAGTTGTATGAACAAGAAGTTTTAATCCAAATAAAATTCTTATATTTCTGTACTATATTACGTGTATACACTCGATACTAATTTTGGTTAAAAAGATGGGTTTGCATATGCTACATATAGTCATCCCAAGGAAAATATTTCTATTACATCAATGTCTTATTTCAACGATGGATTCTCATGCTACAAATTAAAATGCCATTGCAATTTGCAATTAACTTGAAACCATGGCTGTCGCAGAGACTCGGGTTTCGTTTTTGTTGTTGGAATACATATACAAACGAAATGAGAGCTGTAGAGATTAGATTCTGGGTTCTTAGATTCTTATCTGATCAAGAAACTTCTTGCGAGAATTGGACACCGAGTTTGCTGAACCGAGAAAGCTGAATCAAGGAGCTCTAAAATCAGGAGAAGGAACCGTGCGTATGATTTATGAAGTGAAGTTGGAGGAGAGGGTTAGGTTATATTTACGATGGATTTGAACCATAAAAAAGATTAATCACTTTTTTCTCAAGCATTCCAACTTTATTTAACTTTAATTTTCATTTCAATCACTCCTATTATAAAACATTACCAACTTTTACTATTAATCACTTTTTTCAAAAATCACTTTACAAAATCATGTTTTAAAAAGTGAAGCAATAGCAAACATAGCTTTAATCTGCCCACAAAAGGCTTCACTATCTTTTTACACAAAAAACGGAATACTATTTTTGAACTATGAAAATAGTAATTTCCTTCTAATATAATATTGAAAATTGATTGATTATTTTAGAGAATAAATGAAAATGAATGATGGTAAAAATGAGTTGTTTTTCAAAAGAGACGCAATTTTATAAGTCTTTGTTGTAAATACACTTTTTTTTGTATTAAATTATACAAAAGTGAAAAACAAATAGAAATGCTACTCCCCAGGCCATGATATTGCAGAATTTATCTTTGAGATGCTCCTAAGTAATACTCCCTAATACGTACGTAGTATTTATTTCTGTTTGGTCTTTTATTGGACTATTAATTACTATGTGTTACAGTGACATTTTGCTTAAATGCTTGATGCTATCCATATATATAAAGATTTTGTGTGGTGTTGGTTTTGAAATTAAATTCTGAAAAATTAGGTGACAAAAATAACACATTCTATTCAACACAAATATAGGTAAGTACTCCCTCCGTTCTTTATGAACTGTCTCACATTCTTTTTTGGAACGTTTTTAATTATTTATCTCTCTTTCTATTTTAGAAAAGTTTTTGATAAAATACCCTCACTTTTATTACTTTTACCCCTCTTACTTTTTACAAATTACTTTCTTTTTCCTACTTTATCATAACTTTACTCTACTTAATATACTATATTTCCTAATTTATCATCACTTTACTCTTTTTAATATACTCTCTTTTCTACTTTATCATTTACTCTACACACTCTACATTTACCCTACGTCCCTACTATTTTTCCATTAAAACCCGTGCCCAAGGCTAGCGGGAGATAATAAAGGACGGAGTGAGTATTCTAGATAAGTGAAAATTGAATTATTATGAATTCATATGTTGTGATTTTAAAGAACTTGGTGCTTTCTGGTTTGCTTTTCCTTTTTGTTCATATCAACTTTGATTTATATACGATTTGTATCAGTAGTCATGTCATTAATTAGTATTTTGTGTCTTCAATACATATATCGAAGACAGAAAATATTTAATGTATTAAAAATCTATCACCCAAATTTAGTGACAATATGTTGAAATTTTAAATGAACTCACAACACGTGTTCCGACAAAAGCATATACACATTCCAACACGTGACAATATGTTGAAAATATGAGTTGCACAATTATTTCATTGCATTATTTATTTGGATCCACATTCCCCACGTTAAATACTCTTTGGAGTGCATGTAATTGAGATGTAGGGAATGTGGTATAAGGAATTCTAAAGTAATCCAAATAAAGGATTCTAATTTTCTTTATAAACTCGCATAAAAAATGTCTCAAACGACCACCACACACTCCAATTTTATAATCTCAATTTGTCATTACCCCATCCCAAACTACGAAGGAAAATGACTGTGGATTTTGTTGACAAGATTACTATTATGTCTATATATGTATATCATAAATGTAATAGGTACACAAATTTGCTTTTTAATATGCAAAATAATTAATCTCGTGCATACAATACTAGTTTTTATTTATTTGGAGATGGGACTAATACATAAGTAAGAAGCTAGACTAAAATGGGGATCGGGGATAGTAGAGAACTTGGTAAAATTTATAGAGTTTAGAGTAGGCTTTTATTTAAGTTGTGGAATCACATCAACTGGATGTACTATTTGGTTGTGGTTTGAAGCTAGCTTTTTCTTTTGTGCATCTGTTGGCAACTTGATATGAGTAGCCAAACCCAACTTTTGGAGTGTCCATATGGTGCACCAAGTTGTGTCGAGCTGCCACCATTCTAGACCATGTCTAGCTGAATGCTCAAAGGCATGATGGTTATTATGCCACCCTTCTCCGAATGTGACCAATGCCACTAACCTGAAAATTTATTTAGCACTCCCATTATTATTTTTCGTTCAAATTTAATTGGCTAGGTCAGATTATTTAGAAAAATTCAACAACTAACCAATTATTTCTAGATAGGTCGCCGGTTTTCCAAGGTTGGTTTCCCCATATGTGACACGCAGAGTTCACAAGAAATGTCACATGATATCCCCATGTACCTCTTACTCCCTGTATTTAATCAAAAGCAACATAAAATTAAAGCACCTAATATATCTTAAAATTATTTGTCTTAACAAGAAAAATTGTTGTATATGGAGTCTTAAAAATGTCATGTAAAGAATTATTTACTTACATTACGCTCTTTGATTCTATGAGTAAGTAAAGCTACATCACTAAAGTTTATACACAGACTTATATTTTGGATAAATCTGGTCTGTTGAAATCTATTGCGTTAATTAAGTATGTACTGATCAATTCTTTTGAAATAAAGATGTATAAATGCATACCAAGCCCCAAACAACGTAAGGAAATCCGCCAATGGCATAAAGCAATGCTCCAAGTATGGCAGGATGAACAATGTAGGTCTGTTGGAGGAACTTGTAGAAGGGTTGATTCTCCAAATCTGCTACATTTGTTGCCCTTTCACTCTGCATCCGTCACAAATAAAACAATAGGCATTAGCTAATAGTTTTTTATGATTATTATAAATTTAAATAAATAAATAAATAAATAAATAACTAAATAAATAAATAAATAAATAAATAAAAATGTTACCCTTTCTTTTTCAGATTCAACATCAAAGATCCATCCCACGTGACTGAACCAAAATCCTTCAAGGGGACTGTGAGGGTCTTTCATAGAATCGGTATATTTGTGGTGGTATCTATGAGTACTCACCCAACCAATTGGATCCCCCTATACAAAAATTAACAAATTAATTATTGTTAGAAGAAAGCTTAACTAGTATGTACTCCTTCCATCCCGTTAAGATTGTCTTATTTTATTTTTTCGAAAAATCTAACTAACATTGTCTGATACCAAATTTGTTAAAGTTTGTGTGGTTCTAAATTATTTTTATTTTATTCTTATTTTATCAATTTGCGTTAACCACATAAATCCAATTTTCTTGTTAACTGTGTGACATCCGATCCTTTTATCTCAACGGTGTTTCCAACAACTTAAGTCATGAGTACTAAATTACAATCAAATCACAACCAAATCCGGCTCTAATAGTCAAACACTAAATTAACAAAAAGTATTTGTCCTAAATAGGACTAAAATAATATGAAAGTTCTAAAATAGGAGTTCCTAATAATTTATTACCTGAATAGGAACTATTAATTGATCGTTCTAGTTATATCCTCTCTTTTTTTCAAACCTTCTGTAATTTATTACGCTCTTTTTTCCCACAACCATCTCTTCTCTCTCCACCCTTATTTCTCTCCCCCTCCTCATTTCTCACGCACCCCGGCCCATCTTTTTTTTATCTTATCTCTTTCTCTTCTTCCTTCTCTCCCACCACACCCACCTCACATCTCCTCTGGGCAGATCCCCCACCCCTTCTCTCTTCTACATCTCCACTCCCACATACAAAGGTCCGGTCTTCTGCTCTGGGAGTAAGGTGCGACTCCGGCGATTTGGCGGGATACCGGCGATGTGGTGCGAAGTTTTTCTCTGTTAAATTTCTTTCATCTTCTCTTTCTCTTCTACGTTTCATCCTCCTTCTTTTCTTCTTCTTCTTCACTTGATGGATCTCTGTATTATTTTTTTTAATTTTCAGATTCAAAATGGGAAATTTTAGATATGGGGTTGAAAGTTTGGGAGTAGAAAATCTGAGGCTTCGCAAGTTGTTCATATAAAAATCTCAGATCTGACTTTTTGTGTTATTAAAGAACAAACGTCCAACAATTTAAAAAAATAAAACAGTTTTTTTATTAATTTTACTTTCTTTATTTTAGAGTTTTCAATTTAATGAATTTGGATCTGAAAAATCTATAGCTAATGTTTATTTTTTCGTAAAACATATTTGTAAACACTGTTGTTTTCATTATATTACATGTATAGAGATGAAAAAAAGTTTATTCTTTTCATTATATTACATGTATTGAGATGAAATAATATATTTTAAAAATGACATGTTTTTTAATATGTTTGGCAAATAATGTAATCTTACATTTACCAAGTTGGCATTAATTACAAAGATAGCAATGTTACTTAAATATGTTAGGCAAATAATGCCATATTTTATAACCATTAATGTCATGTATTTTTTACAAAATGACATTATGATTTTAACATGACATTAAGTGATTTTTCACCAGATCTTAGATGGATTTGAGCTCTACCATGGTCAGATCAATGGAGGTCGGCAGCGGCGATGCCAGAGGTTGCAGATGAGGCGACGAGGATGCTGGTATGGCGGCGGCGGCACCGACGCCGGTGGTGGCGGCTCTTATGCCGGTGGCAGCAGCTCCGAAGCCAGTGGCGGCGGCGGCTTCGACGCCGGTGGTGGTGGCGGCGGCGGCTTCGACGCCGGTGGTGGTGGTGGCGTCGCCGGTAGTGACAATGGAGGTTGCACTACCACTTTGTTTTGTGCGTGACGACTGCTAGGGTTCCCATTTCGTTTTTTTATTTCATTTTCTTTTATTAATTATTAATAAACTGATTTGGTCATTAAGGGTAATGTTGTCATGTCACTTTACTCTAGTCCTACCGAGCACTACAAGCCCTTGAAGTCCTATTATTGCATTTTGTACATCTTTTAGTCCTAGTTAGGGAATCTCATTAACAAAAACAAATTTATTCTAATGGATCAGTCTTGTCGGAACAACATCCCTAAGGCGGTGTGCACAACGAGGAATTGAATGGATTTTAAATGATCAATGGATTTGAAATTCGAGGGATTCTACAAGATTTTTGGTGGAATGTTTTTGTAAAATAGAAACTCATCAAATACCATTAAAATTCAATACATCCAAATAAGCGGCAATAGAATCAATGAAATGTTTGAGGACACCATTATTTTCATGGATTCCACAGAAATCTAAATTGGGGACACATGAATTCTAACGGATTTCTAAACCCCGCTAAAATCCTCCAGAATCTAGATCGGGAACACTTAATTTAGAGGAACGATTCTGCTTTAATTACCTTTTTCCTGTATCAGATGTCTTATTTTAATTCGACACAAATATTAATAAAATTGAAGGGTAAAATTTGGGATGAGATTTAAGTAGAATAAAGTAAAATGACATGGATCACATGTTTTTTGTCAAAAAAGAAAATATAACATTATTTTGGGATAATCCCAAAAAAAGAAAATAGACAACCTGTGTGTGCTAGAGGGAGAGAAATAGATATGCAGATAAGAACATGTTAAGCCTATTGAAGGGAAAAAAACTTCTACTTCCCATATAAAACGTATTTTTCCCGTATTTTACAAACACAGAAACATGAATTGACCCAATTGAAGGAATGCATTAAATGCATAGGAGATCAACCATAGTTTAAAAGTAGAAATGAAAAAGTTATCCTCATGATCACGTGTTTTTGTATTGTTATAATACAATTATTAATTACTAAAATTAATTGCATGACGGTTAAAGCTAGCATCCTAAAGGACTAAAACTTAAAATACTACTCCCTCTGTCGTTAATTGTTCTTTCATGGTACAAATGACACACATATTAAGAAGGTGAGTATTGTCACATGAAATAATTGTTCTTTCAAAGAGCGTAATGTAAGTAAATAATTCTTTACATGACATTTTTAAGACTCCATATACAACAATTTTTCTTGTTAAGACAAATAATTTTAAGATATATTAGGTGCTTTAATTTTATGTTGCTTTTGATTAAATACAGGGAGTAAGAGGTACATGGGGATATCATGTGACATTTCTTGTGAACTCTGCGTGTCACATATGGGGAAACCAACCTTGGAAAACCGGCGACAGAGGGTTGATTCTCCAAATCTGCTACATTTGTTGCCCTTTCACTCTGCATCCGTCACAAATAAAACAATAGGCATTAGCTAATAGTTTTTTATGATTATTATAAATTTAAATAAATAAATAAATAAATAAATAACTAAATAAATAAATAAATAAATAAATAAAAATGTTACCCTTTCTTTTTCAGATTCAACATCAAAGATCCATCCCACGTGACTGAACCAAAATCCTTCAAGGGGACTGTGAGGGTCTTTCATAGAATCGGTATATTTGTGGTGGTATCTATGAGTACTCACCCAACCAATTGGATCCCCCTATACAAAAATTAACAAATTAATTATTGTTAGAAGAAAGCTTAACTAGTATGTACTCCTTCCATCCCGTTAAGATTGTCTTATTTTATTTTTTCGAAAAATCTAACTAACATTGTCTGATACCAAATTTGTTAAAGTTTGTGTGGTTCTAAATTATTTTTATTTTATTCTTATTTTATCAATTTGCGTTAACCACATAAATCCAATTTTCTTGTTAACTGTGTGACATCCGATCCTTTTATCTCAACGGTGTTTCCAACAACTTAAGTCATGAGTACTAAATTACAATCAAATCACAACCAAATCCGGCTCTAATAGTCAAACACTAAATTAACAAAAAGTATTTGTCCTAAATAGGACTAAAATAATATGAAAGTTCTAAAATAGGAGTTCCTAATAATTTATTACCTGAATAGGAACTATTAATTGATCGTTCTAGTTATATCCTCTCTTTTTTTCAAACCTTCTGTAATTTATTACGCTCTTTTTTCCCACAACCATCTCTTCTCTCTCCACCCTTATTTCTCTCCCCCTCCTCATTTCTCACGCACCCCGGCCCATCTTTTTTTTATCTTATCTCTTTCTCTTCTTCCTTCTCTCCCACCACACCCACCTCACATCTCCTCTGGGCAGATCCCCCACCCCTTCTCTCTTCTACATCTCCACTCCCACATACAAAGGTCCGGTCTTCTGCTCTGGGAGTAAGGTGCGACTCCGGCGATTTGGCGGGATACCGGCGATGTGGTGCGAAGTTTTTCTCTGTTAAATTTCTTTCATCTTCTCTTTCTCTTCTACGTTTCATCCTCCTTCTTTTCTTCTTCTTCTTCACTTGATGGATCTCTGTATTATTTTTTTTAATTTTCAGATTCAAAATGGGAAATTTTAGATATGGGGTTGAAAGTTTGGGAGTAGAAAATCTGAGGCTTCGCAAGTTGTTCATATAAAAATCTCAGATCTGACTTTTTGTGTTATTAAAGAACAAACGTCCAACAATTTAAAAAAATTAAACAGTTTTTTTATTAATTTTACTTTCTTTATTTTAGAGTTTTCAATTTAATGAATTTGGATCTGAAAAATCTATAGCTAATGTTTATTTTTTCGTAAAACATATTTGTAAACACTGTTGTTTTCATTATATTACATGTATAGAGATGAAAAAAAGTTTATTCTTTTCATTATATTACATGTATTGAGATGAAATAATATATTTTAAAAATGACATGTTTTTTAATATGTTTGGCAAATAATGTAATCTTACATTTACCAAGTTGGCATTAATTACAAAGATAGCAATGTTACTTAAATATGTTAGGCAAATAATGCCATATTTTATAACCATTAATGTCATGTATTTTTTACAAAATGACATTATGATTTTAACATGACATTAAGTGATTTTTCACCAGATCTTAGATGGATTTGAGCTCTACCATGGTCAGATCAATGGAGGTCGGCAGCGGCGATGCCAGAGGTTGCAGATGAGGCGACGAGGATGCTGGTATGGCGGCGGCGGCACCGACGCCGGTGGTGGCGGCTCTTATGCCGGTGGCAGCAGCTCCGAAGCCAGTGGCGGCGGCGGCTTCGACGCCGGTGGTGGTGGCGGCGGCGGCTTCGACGCCGGTGGTGGTGGTGGCGTCGCCGGTAGTGACAATGGAGGTTGCACTACCACTTTGTTTTGTGCGTGACGACTGCTAGGGTTCCCATTTCGTTTTTTTATTTCATTTTCTTTTATTAATTATTAATAAACTGATTTGGTCATTAAGGGTAATGTTGTCATGTCACTTTACTCTAGTCCTACCGAGCACTACAAGCCCTTGAAGTCCTATTATTGCATTTTGTACATCTTTTAGTCCTAGTTAGGGAATCTCATTAACAAAAACAAATTTATTCTAATGGATCAGTCTTGTCGGAACAACATCCCTAAGGCGGTGTGCACAACGAGGAATTGAATGGATTTTAAATGATCAATGGATTTGAAATTCGAGGGATTCTACAAGATTTTTGGTGGAATGTTTTTGTAAAATAGAAACTCATCAAATACCATTAAAATTCAATACATCCAAATAAGCGGCAATAGAATCAATGAAATGTTTGAGGACACCATTATTTTCATGGATTCCACAGAAATCTAAATTGGGGACACATGAATTCTAACGGATTTCTAAACCCCGCTAAAATCCTCCAGAATCTAGATCGGGAACACTTAATTTAGAGGAACGATTCTGCTTTAATTACCTTTTTCCTGTATCAGATGTCTTATTTTAATTCGACACAAATATTAATAAAATTGAAGGGTAAAATTTGGGATGAGATTTAAGTAGAATAAAGTAAAATGACATGGATCACATGTTTTTTGTCAAAAAAGAAAATATAACATTATTTTGGGATAATCCCAAAAAAAGAAAATAGACAACCTGTGTGTGCTAGAGGGAGAGAAATAGATATGCAGATAAGAACATGTTAAGCCTATTGAAGGGAAAAAAACTTCTACTTCCCATATAAAACGTATTTTTCCCGTATTTTACAAACACAGAAACATGAATTGACCCAATTGAAGGAATGCATTAAATGCATAGGAGATCAACCATAGTTTAAAAGTAGAAATGAAAAAGTTATCCTCATGATCACGTGTTTTTGTATTGTTATAATACAATTATTAATTACTAAAATTAATTGCATGACGGTTAAAGCTAGCATCCTAAAGGACTAAAACTTAAAATACTACTCCCTCTGTCGTTAATTGTTCTTTCATGGTACAAATGACACACATATTAAGAAGGTGAGTATTGTGTGGTGGAGAGTTGTGCAGGAGATAGAGAAATTGTAAGAAATGCTCTGAAGCACTAATTCTTTACCAAAAAAGGAAAATAGAAGTTCTTTTGGGACGAATGAAAAGGGAAAATTGAAAGTTCTTTTAGGGATGGAGGGAGTACTAGATTTCTGATGTTATTTCAAACAAGCATATCAAATATAATGTTTTTCTAAACCTGAAATTTTTTAGTATAAACTTTTACACAAACAATAATAAGTGTAGCAGTCGCACAACTTTTCTCATATGTCATCCGTCATCTTGATGAAAATTATGAGTTTAACTTGAGTGTTATTTGATGATAATAGAAAGATAATGATTTTAAATTAGTCTCATTGTATTGTTATTATGCCTTATTTTTTTGACAACATTTTGCAAAATTATGTTTTGGACTTACTTACACCAGTTGTGGTTGATCGCCACCTCCTTGTCCTGGAGGCTCTCCGGTAGAATTACGAATTATGTTTTTATGTAGTAATGGAATTTGCTACTTGAATTTGTGTATACTTTTATTTCTTTTTACTATGTATGTTATTTTGTATAAAGTATATAATTTAAATGTTCAAAATAATGCCTCGTATTTTTTGTCCGAATTTTTGTAACCGATAACGTATTATACAGGTATACATATTTACACGTTTTATAAAAGTCAACATTTTTTCAACGAATTTTTGACCGTTATTTTGATTCGTATTCCTGAATAAAACGCGAACGTATTAAACCCCGTACCGTATTTAACCAACTAGGATGCTAAGTAATGGATAATTTGTAATGCTACATTAGCCCTACTGATAAGTAAGTGAGTTTATGGTCCGGAGTCCGGACTAATAAATGAGTCTATCAGACATCTAATGGGTCTGGTACATAAGTAGGTGTAATTAATATCATTATGCATGTCAAAGGTACTTTACTTCTGAATTGAAATAGAATTAGTCATTTTAAATGAAGTTAATTGACCATGACTAATCACAAACATACGAAGTACGTATTAATAAATTATGAGTAGTACGTATATTACTTATATTTATTAATTAATTATGGATTTATCACTCGATAATAAAGAAAGTCTTACCTGGAGAGCTAGAGCACCCCAATAGGCAAAAAAATACTCGAGCCATTTGGGAAGCTTGAAACTCTTGTGACACAAATTCCGGTGATAACCGAGCGTTATTCCGAGGCCGGCGAGGATGTATGTCCCTAACCACACCCCTACACAATCCCAACTGAAACAAAATGGGGCAAACCCGGCCAGCAGGTGAAGCAATGGCACCATCACCATTGTCGCTGGCTGACCCGGCCCGCCTCGAAGATATTTCTCCATTGGTTTTTTGTTCTTCTAGCTCTTAAACAGATTTGTCGAGAGGCAATCCAATATAACTATATATATGTCTATATATAAGCCAGCCCAGGATCGGAGGGATAGATTATATTCTAGCAAGAAAGAGCTACTTATAGTACGTCGTCAAAGTCTCGAATTTAAATAAACGTACACGTAGCAGTTAATACATACGTACATTTAATTTCTACCACAATGTTGTATAGGTACCGCTCCTTTATAACTTTGTCTAAGTTTGATTAACATACCGTTTCAAAAATGGTTTTACAAATTATATATGGGAAAATCGCATATATGATTTCTCAGTTATACACGAAATTAAAATCTTAGAATTGTATTTTTGAGATTGTAAATGTCACCCCTCAATTATCCAAAATGTTGTAAATGTGATCCTTTTGAGGGGTGAAATATACAATGTGGACGATAGTACATTTCACCACTTAAAGGACCACATTTACAACAATTTGGACAATTGAGAAGTGACATTTACAATCTCAGAAATATAGGTCTGAGATTTTAATTTCGTGGATAACTGAGGGACCATATATGCTATTTTCCCATTATATATTATTTGTGGGAAATTATTTTGAAATGAATGAAAAATTTATCCTCATATTCTCTCCGAAGCAATGTTCGTGTAGGACTTGTCCCACACTGCCACCGTTCTCCGGCTGGCTGGATAGGTCGGGTTCGGTGTCGGGCACAGGTGGGTACTCGCGTGGCTTTATGACTTAAGAGAAGGTTTGCCACCTTTTCTTAACAGGCACCTTTTAGGATTGTGTCTTCTGGCTAGAGCACCATAAATCCTATTAGGAGCCTACGTTTTTCACTTGATAAGAATTCCGAAAATGCTCCGAATTCCAAATTCCGCCATTTTAGTGCATCATTGGGTTCGCCGGTGTCCTTCGGGAATGTAGAAATTGTTCTATCATGGGAGACGATTGTTACTTGTGTTGTGGAAAAATTCGTCTCAAGGAGACAATGATTCATTGAGCTGGAAGGTAATGAGAAATATATGAATTTTGAATAACTCATACATGATGTGATTGAACTAAAGAGAAATATACCATGAACCACAAAAGGTTGACCAAGAAGGTGCTTCATTCAGATTGATTTTACTTCTGCTTTTTTCAGAATCAGAACCGGAAACCGTTTTTTCAAAAGATTGTATTTCCAAATTTCTCAAAAATTACTTCTAGCAGCAAGTTGGAGCATTTTGAAATAATTTTGCACTTTCATCCAATTATTCCAATATATGTTTCTGCTACAGTTTTAAGCACTAGATCCAAACACCCCTTAAAAGGAGAGTGAAAAGATTTTTTGGATAACAAAAAAAAATTGATAAAGTTTTGGAAAAATTGATTATAATAATCCCAACTATTGGCAGTCCATTCATAATAATCCCAACTATCGATTTTCAAAATAATCACAACTTTAGGGACCTTCCGCCAATAATGATCCGACGTTACCGACTATAAATAAATTCCTATAATTTCTAAAGAGATATGGCAGGTAATCCATATAAATAATCCCAAATTTTAATTTTTACTCTTAATTTCTATTAAAAAAATCACTTGTTAGAGCATGTAATATGCGGTCATGGACCATTATTGGCGGACGGTCCATATAGTTGGGATTATACAAAAATAATCAATATTTGGGATTATTGTTAGCGGACCGGCAATAGTTGAGATTATTATTTTCAATTTTTCCCAAAGTTATATATAAAGGATGGCAGACATGCACATAGCTAGGGGAAGGTGTACCCAAGTCCCGACCCACCTCAAATTTGAAAAAAATAAGTTTATTATACATATATAAAAGTTCATCTAAAAAAATCTTTATAGCGACCTTGTGTGACCTCTGGCTATGCCCCTCACTCAGTGATGGGAAGTATTAAAAACTGGATATATATTAAAGTATTCCGTCTGTTTCAGTTCTACACAGGTTTAATAACTTTTCTTGTCAAGTTGTTTCAAAAAAAATTTCAGATTTAATTGTTCCCTTCTCCATATAAAACTCAATCACATCGTTTTTACTTTTGTTATTTATCGGTGAGTTCAAAATCGTTAGTGTGGAATGGGATGGAGATATACCGTACTACCTCCGCCCTAAGTAAATGTTATCGCCCACTATTCTTCCATCAACGTAAATTAATTTTTAATCTTCTCATCATTACGGCTTTGGCGTAGCTCCCTGTGCTGGAACAAGCTTAGCTAGCTATTAACTATTAAGAGACGCCAGAAGTAAATTTAATGGGACTGTCTTGCGTTGCGGACACATGCATGTATGCATTCAAGAACTCTGACTACTCAACGCCCCCCCATATTTAATTTACTCAATTAATCAATTCAAGGAAATGATCTTCCATCTGTGCCCAGAGAAATGCATGTCACTTAAACGAAAGAATTGTTATTTTTATAAATGTTCATATGTCTTTAATACGGAGTACATTTCAATGGCCAAATTACATTTCCTTCCGTTTTGTGAGTCGATAATATTACTATGACATTCCCCAGATCACATGATTGAAAGTCATCTAAGTGTAAAGCGGATACTACAGTCTATATATAGGTGAACACAATAAACGAAAATTATATTTCCTTCTATTATTCTCAAAAAGTACTTCGTATACTAGACTACTAGTTGCAGTTGGTTGACATACTATCGTCTCCAAAGCCACTACTGCTAATAGAGAACAAAGTAACGAACGAGTATACTATTGTTATCATTAACGTACCAACCAAGCATTCCAACTCGCTGGATGGAAGGTTACCGTGCCTAGTGGAGGTTTCGGGTTCAAAACCCGCTAGGCACAAATAAGGGAGATGAGGCGGATTGTGATTAAGGGCAGGGACGGATCCAGGATTTCGAGTCAAAGGGGGCGAAAATTTTCGTTAGTGTAGGAGATAAAAAATTCATTAGTGTAGCGGGGTGAATGTTTTTTCTAGTGTAGCGGGGCGAATTTTTTTAAGGCTCTGCGGCTATTTTTATTCAAAAAAATTTCATTAATACATACGTGATGACATTTAAATCTATATATTACATTCTAAGTTTAGACAATGACAAAATAACTTTAGATTTATAATTGGAGTGTTCTAGAAAAAAGTATTGATACATTAAAGCATAGGAAATGACAAATCAATGGAAAATAATACAAAAATAAAAAAGGAAATATAACATTTTATTTAAATATAAAGAGTTTATAAGGTTCACATTCACGAGTACTTTTAAAATAATTTCAACATTGTTTAACTACATGAGTCTTATAGAAATAAAGAATTGATTTTTGAATTACAATTTTTGTCTATCATTGAGGGTGTTCATAAGTCACAAGCAGTTCTTTTAATATTACAATAGTATGTATGATATTATTATTTTTAGAATAATATAATATTGATAATTCATATATATAGTGCATATTATATTTGTATTAATGCTAAAATAAATAAAAAGTTTATTATCTATGCAATAAAGTCTTTTTAGAATGTAAGAAGTAAATGAATAGTGTAAGTCAATGTCAATAAACATTTATAATTTGGATTACTTCACATGATCTAAAAACTTTGTAGCTAGAGTGTCTGGTATTTAATATCGTTTGATATATATTTTTCAAAATTGTTTACTAGTTATCGAATAAAGATAATTAAACATTACAAAACTAAGAATTTTTATATAATAAGTATCCTAAATCTCAAATAATGAGTTCTTCTATTGTTTATTTAAGTTATGTAAATTATTTTAGATGTTCCTTTTTTAAATCTCCGATTAAGTATTACATTATGTAAGACTATATATCAATTTTAAAAACTAAAAAATAAGGGGGGCAATGTTCAACAAAAAAATTAAGGGGGGCGAATCTAATTAAAGTATCAAAATTTTACAAAAACATTACATATATAGTAGAAAATTTTGAAAGTCCAAGGGGGGCGGTCGCACCCCCGCGCCCCCCTTAAATTCATCCCTGATTAAGGGAGCACAAACACCGATACTTGGATTAGTACGGATGTAGTATTAAATACCATAAAACACCTACCTACGGAGACTAAAAAGTGTTATCTAAATTTGAAATAACTAGATCGGATAAATTAAAGAAAGTAAAATTTAGTAGAAGATGAAGCATATGAGAAGAAAACTTTCTCGTATGACCTTTTTACATCAGTAATATAGGCCGGGTTTAATATGATGATCTAATGACCAAATGAGAAAGCTTCTAAATGCCTTTTCTTAAAGCTCTATAGCCAAAATCACAAATTAAGACGAGTGCATTACAAATTTACAAATCCTTTAAATCAAACTAGAAAAAGATTTTATATTAATGCACTCATGCGCATTTTGTGTAAAATTTAATGTATCCAAACAGGGATGAATCCAAGAATTCGAGTCAAGGGTGAGAAGTTTTTCCGTTAGTGTGAGGGGCAAAATCTTTTTCACTAGTGTAGCGGAGCGCAATTTTTTTCGGTAGGGCTCTTATGATGACATTTAAATCTATTCATTCTAAGTTTAGAAAATAGAAAAATAACTTTGATTTTATAATTGAAGTGGTCTAGAAAAAAGTATTGATACATTAAAGCATAAGGAATGACAAGTCAAAGGAAAATTATTTGAAAGTAAAAAAGAATATATAAAGATAAAAAATTTAAAAGGTACACATCAACCAATAGTTTTTAAATAATGTATGTCTCGTTTACCCGCATGAATCTTATCGGAATAAAGAATTCATTTTTGAGTTGCAACTTTTGTCTACCAAGGAGGGGTGTTTGTAAGTCACAAGTAGTTTTCTTAATATTATAATAGTATGAATGCGATTATTTGTTTTTAAAATAATATTATATTGCTAATTAATATAGATGGTGCATATTATATTTGTATTAATGCTAAAATAAGTTAAAGTTTATTATTAGTGCAATATTTTTTGGAAAGTAAGAAGAAATGAATATATTGTGTAATTTAATGTCAACAAACATTTATATTTTTTATTCACTTCAAATGATGAAAAATTGTTTAACTAGTGTCTCTGGCATTTAATATCGTTTGATATTTTATAAAATCAAGTAGTAAATTATCTAATAAAGATAATTAAACATTACAAAAACTAGGAAGTTTTAT